GATCAACTGCATTCCAAACAACATGGAGAAATACATTTCTTTTTCTCTAGGGTGTATGGACTTCATTGATAGTTTCCAGTTTATGAGTTCGAGTTTGAAAAAGCTAGTCAGCAATCTAGCTCTGGAAGGTTCTTCAAAATTCCATCATATGAGGCTTCACTTCGGCTTTGATAACTTGCCCCTGCTCCTGAGAAAACAAGTCTACCCCTACGAATACTCTGATTCACCAGACAGGTTTATTGAGACCAGTTTACCCCCAAAAGAGGCCTTCTACAGTTCTCTGTCTGGAGACCATATCTCCACAGAGGATTATTCCCACACTCGTACAATCTGGGAAACCTTTCAGATTCAGGACTTGGGTCAATACCATGACCTGTACACCCTCACTGATGTCCTAGCCCTAGCCGATGTCTTTGAAAATGTTTGTACTGTCTGCTTCGAATCTTATTAGTTGGACCCAGCCCATTTCTACACCAGTCCTGGTCTTGCCTGGCAAGCTGCTCTTAAAATGACGGAAGTCCGATTGGAATTGCTGACTGATATTGACATGCATCTGTTTATCGAACAAGGTCTGAGAGGTGGCATCTCCATGATCAGCCATCGACACGCCAAAGCGTGGTGTACCCAACTAAAATCCCAAATACCATATTGTTTACCTGGATGCCAAGAACCTTTATAGATGGGCCATGTATCAAGCTCTCCCCGTCTTTGACTTAACTTGCTCTCGCAGGATGAATTACCCGACATATCTCAAATACCAGACGATGCCCTAGAGGGATATATCTTGGAGGTGGACCTGGACTATCCCAAGGAGCTTCATGACCTCCATAACGAGTACCCCCTAGCACCTGAGAAACTGAAAGTGACAGAGAACATGTTGTCTCCCTATGCTGAGAAACTTCTAGAAAGTCTTAGTATGAAAGGGACTTCTATGGAGAAGCTCATCCCTAATCTACGACCAAAGTCCAAGTATGTGGTCTACTACAGAAACCTAAAATCCTATTTGTCCCTGGGCATGAAGCTGACCAAAATTCATCGACTGCTCCAGTTTGTCCAGCGACCTTGGTTGAAGCAGTACATCGAGTTCACGACTGACAGGAAGAAGCAAGCCAAGAATTAGTTTGAGAAAGACTTCTACAAGCTCATGAATAATGCTGTTTTCGGCAAGACTATGGAAAATTTCCGTAGACGAGTGGATGTGAAACTATACTAAGCAGCAAAAACACGTCATTTCGGAATTTTTCTTCGCATAAATGTATAACTGTAAACCCATTTAATGTTTTGATTGTATATTTTTACAACATTTCAAACTTTACCTGAGCAAAGACATTCCTTCCCAAACTCAGAATTGAACCCAGGAAATGGTCTCAAAAATGCACCCTGACCTCGGAGATGGTACAGTGTTCTCCATGTTTTTTATGTAACTCATGCTGCACGTGCTTTTCACAAGTATCAGCCCCATAAAATGCACCCCCAAACCTGGTTGAAACATTTACATTACAACGTCAGCAGGATGCCGAGACTCATGACAGCTCAGAGGAACCAGGCGCTAGGAAGACTTGAAGCTGGCCACACTAGCCGTTGCCAGTCACTTCCACGTCAACGTTCGGACCATCTACAGGCTGCAGCAACGTTTCCAGGCCATCAACACCACAAATGATCGCCCCTGTACCGGCAGACCAAGGGTTACCACAAGACAGCAAGACCGCCATGTTGAGCGACAGCATGTACAGAATCCCTTCATGCAGGCATACGAAACAGCACGCCTGACATTGGGAACACACAGAAGGCCAATCAGTACTGATACAGTACGCCAACGTCTTAACAGCAGGAACCTCCATTGCTGTAGAGCTTACCGTGAACCTATCCTCACCCCTTGTCATCGGCGTCAACATCTACAGTTTGCCCGATAACACCAAAACTGGCAATACAGGCAATGGAGAACTGTTCTGTTCACAGATGAGAGTCAGTACTGCGTATCAACTGCAGATGACAGAACAAGAATATGGCGACGACGTGGCCAGCCTTACTCAGACCAATGTGTTATGGAAAGAGACTCATGGGGAGGTTCAAGCATCATGGTATGGGGTAGAATAGGCCTGAACCAGAGAGTGGGTCCTGTGGTGTTCCAGAACCTTGGTCCAGGGAGAGGAGGCGGCATCACAACGGTGCTCTACATCAACCAAGCTCTCAGACTCCACGTCATACCACATTTCGCATGTCACCGGAACAACATTTTCCAGCATGACATTTTGAACATCTTTGGGATGAAATTCAGAGGAGACTGAATAATGGCATACCAAGGCCGAACACAGCCAATTTATTGCGCCAGGCTTTTCTCAGAGTGTGGTTCCAGGTGCCAATGGCCTTCATCAATCAATTGGTGCACTCCATGCATAGATGCTGTGCTGCAGTTATTGCCGCTCGTGGTGGTCACACTAGATACTGAAGTAAAGAGTCTGACCGGACTGCAAATGTTCATGTAATGTCTTGAAATTATTATTATTAGAGTTATTCATTGATTTGTCAAGATATTGTACACAAAGTTTTTTGGGGGATCCGCTTATTATGTCAATTTCTGAAATAATTTGATTACAGTGCCTATCTATTTTTGTTTTCGTACTGACGTGTCTTTTGCTGCTGAGTATAGTACAAGGGTAGAAAAGGGCCAGGAAATTGATTGCCAAACCTTCCTTCTATGCTTTTCGAAATTTCAATCAAGACTTGGTGGCTGTCTACATGCTCAAGCAGAGGTTGTATCTCACCATTCCGGATGTCTCCAAGATTTTGATGTATAATTTCCATTGCAACTACATCAAATCAAATTATTGCCCAAGAAGTCAGCTCCTGTTTACAGACAGAGATTCCCTCTGTTATTCTATCCAAACTGAAGACATTTATGCTGACATGCTCAGAAACCAACACGTATTCGACACCTCAGACTACCCCTCTGATCGCACTCTCTTCAATTTAGACAATAAGAAGGTCCTCGGGAAAATGAAGGACGAGACCCACCGTATCCCAATTCAAGAATTTGTAGGGCTCAAGTCAAAAGTGTACTTGCTTATCTACAAAGAGAAAGGTCAGCTGGTTGAAAAGAAGACCGCCAAGGGCGTCAAGAAAAATGTCATTCAAAAGGAAACCAGACATGAAAATTATAAACAATGTCTGTTTAAGAGACAAATAGACGTCACAAATGACTCATATCACAAGTTACAACCATGACCTCTACAACATCCAGCTCAACAAACTGGGTCTCAGCCCTTTTGATGACAAGAGATATTTATTGGACGATGGGGTTATCAGTCTAGTCTATGGTCATTGGAGGATCGCCACACTTTTAAAGTAAAGAATATCTAGAGTGTCTTTATTCGAGAACTGATCGTTGATGCGTGAATATGTATTCCAGTCCAGCGTGTTCTAAGCAATATGTCTGGGTCGATGATTTGACTCGTGATATTCATACAAAACATTCAGGAGAAGATCTCAAGCAGCAGCAGCAGCAGCAGACACAGCAGACCACCACCACATGGTAGAAAGATTGTAAAGCGTAACTGTACAGCTGTATATAGATTGTAAGGGTGGCTTGGGGTGGCTGTCCGACCAATGTCCATTCTGCATGCAGGGGGATATTAAATATTGTGTATAGAAGTTGTATATTGTTGTTGTGTATTTCACTCCATAAGTTTACATTTACGCACGCAGGTGCCAATAAAGTTACACAAACGGACGACTTGAGTTTTTTTTCAACATGGCAGCGGTCCACACTATATAGACGCTATTATGACCTAGTTTCACACATGCAAGGATGTGAAAGGGGACATCATTAGCGTGGGGGTTGCCTCTCGACTTCAAGGAGGCTACTCAATTTCTATGGAAGATAACATGGTTAAGGGTGTGGCAGGTTTCTACCACTACTATTAATAATGTTGAGTATTTCCTTCACACACGAGAAATGCTAAATGGGAACCTTTGTGGGGTAATCTGATGGTGATACCACGAATTATACCTAAATTCATTAACTTACCATCAAGTGAATGAGTGCAAATAAACAGGTGTAGGTTTATACCACCAAACATGGATTACAGTAATCGCTGTATAGTGGCTGTATTTAATTGCCTAAAAGACTTGGGGGTCGACACTGTTTTGAGGATGCGAACAAAACTTCATTGTTTGTATAAAACAAATGCATAATATCATTTGCTGTGTACATTAATTAAAAACTGTATATACCCATTTACCTACGTACATTTTCAGATTTTTCTAACAATGGGGTTGATTTTGTATACAGATTCAAATAAATCAAATGCGTGTTTTTGATATCACATTGATACATGACATGATTAAATATCGAGGTAAATACCACAGAAATAAAATCAAATTGGATCAGTCATCATGCCATCCATGCATCAGAAAATCAGAAAAAAGTTACACTGCTGAAATACTTTATAACAATAAAACTAGAACTATTTTCCAATAATGGCATCTGATGGGCACCTACCATTCTTATTGTCCCATTGTTTAGGTTGAGATTATGCCAAGGTGGACAGATCGAAGTCCATTCTACAATATTAAACCTGACCAATGAAATCATAGGTCAACACAGATGTCTAAATTTTCCCATGAGTCTGGCCATGATGGTCACATGGAGTTTTACCAAAATCAGTGTGGCCTTGCCTATGAAATTGCCAATAAATTGCATTTTACATTACTTTATGACACAATTTATAAAACACAAGCCCTTTTGATGAAAAATAAGCATTTTGAGGTCAAGGGTTGGCCATGGTCATACCATACTTTTTTCAACTGGGTGCCACCCTTGAGTTGTTGGTGATATTAACAATACTTAGTACTGTAATCATTTAATCTGTTTAAATTGCTGCTTGAATAATATGTACCTCCAAAATCAATCTGCATTTTCTACAAACACATGTCTTACACACGTCAATCCATAAATTCAAAATGCTTCAAACTAAAATTGAATGGGGAACTCATGATCCTTCTTTTTCGTAAGATAGATTTTATTTCTAACCAGTCAGTACAAAACGAGTTGGCAACAGAAAGGAGTAGGTGGCAGAGTCACAATTACATAAGAGTGAGCATTCAAAGGTCCAGTAAAATACATGCGAGAATACAAAGTTTGTCTAATATATAAGAAACAGTTCCTTGGTTATGTTCTTTAAATGAATAATGATTTTTTTAACATACTAATTCGATTATGATGTATGCATACCTGCATCTTTAGTGGTTCCAAGTAAACCCAATTTAAGTTGAATACATGTTCAACAAATTAAAGGAGAGAAGGATGATACCCAAAACATGGCATTTAGTTTCCCTTGAACAACATCCCGTGAAGGTCCGGGTTAGAATGAACCTTCAGTAACCCATGCTTGCTGTAAGAGGCGACTAACAGGATCGGGTGGCCAGGCTCGCTGGCTTGGTTGACACATGTCATCGGTTCCCAATTGCGCAGATCGATGCCCATGCTGTTGATCACTGGATTGTCTGGTCCAGACTCGATTATTTACAGACTGCCGCCATATAGCTGGAATATTGCTTCCCCGCGGAGGGTCAACTTGCTGCCTCAGAAATGCTAAGGTATGAATAAGAAAGAAATTCGTGAAAAGCAAAATTACAGAACAAATGTATACACTAAATATCAAAAAGAACCCATTTAGGCTCCAGAAACATAATGTGACAAAGGGTGTGACAGGGGATATATAATGTGATGAAATATGAGGAATTCCGTAACCTGACAAACTGTTTGTTCTTTGGATGGGTGTGGGTTTCACAAACAGTCATCACAAAAAGTAAAATGAATTAATATGGTTATAAATGATGATATTGATTGTATGAACAATTCCACAATGAGTGAAATGGCTGTTATCTTGGCGAGATGTGTTGCTATATGTGAGAGCCCATGATATATGATTTTGTTGTTGTCAGTCTGCCCTAAGAGGGTTTTCTAATCATGTGCTGTTTCATATGGGAAATCTTTTGATATGATTGAACCTCTTATAATGCTGAATTGTTCTCTCCTTTAATTTGATTTTGCTTCAAAAACAAATTGAATTATATTTTATATGTCATCAGTTGTCATTTCATGTCTAAGAGAGTATCTCCATATGACTCTCCATATACAGAGTGACATCTCACTTTTTGTTAACATATGTTCAAGCCTTAAAACAACATTTTGACCATACATACTTTGACTATTCATTACTTTTCCCCACAAGATTTTAGCAACATTACACTAAATTGCCTCTGAATAATTGATCAAAATTAGTGACCCCTCAATTCAAGTCTACTGTCTGTCCCATTTCACAAAAAAGATTTGAAATAAGTTATGAAACATTGTACTGAAAATATACCCTTGCTGCCTTTTGAAGAGGAATTGGGCCCAGTTTGTAAATATTTGCCATATCCTTTCCACACATAAAGATTCTTAATGTAGATTGAAAAGCTACCCCGTCCCCATATATTCCTCTGGGTGTACCTAAAAAAAAAAATTAAACCATGTGATCAGTACATACCGTATGAGACTATTAGCTTGACCTGTGCTAACTACTAGATTATAGTATTATACATTAGTATTGAATGCTTAAATTTTATTACATGGTAGCATTTTACTTAATAACATGTCAAGTTAATTCACAAAAAAATTATAATTTCCACCAATGATATCACATCTTCCTAAATGCCGTATTCAATTCTCAAACCAAAACCAAAATACCTAAGCCAAGAACCCAATCACTGCAAATTGGAGAAACAGTTGGTGTGCTTTCTGATGTACCAGTTACAAAGTACCCACTACCAGTTTGATTAGATCAGGAGACAGTGTTTATCATAGCCTAGATTACAATATAAAGTATGCTTTGGCAATATGAAACCAGTCACTCACCTAGCCAGAGTACCTGTGTCAAAAAGAGTACCTCTGTCTGATCGTCACATATTGCACAGTCCATTCATGTGTTTTGCTTGTTTCATGTTGATAAAAACAGTAATAATAGTAATAGTCCGCTTATATATGGCGCTCATATCCAGGCACATTACCTGCTCACGGTGCTACGTACACTACTATCCCCAGTAATAGGACATCATACTATCAGACTATCTGATACTTTTTCAACTCCCCGGGGATCATACAGCCATGCTGCCTGTTAGGCGCCATCAATTAATCGCTCACATTGCCAGAACATCCTCATGGGTACCCATTTTACAGCTGGGTGAACTGAGACAACGTGGATCTAATTATCTTGTCCAAGGATACGACGCAAATGTGCCTACCTCGGGACCCAAACCTAGATGCCTCCACAGGGGATCTAACCCGGGCCTTCAGGCAGTCACTTTACCACTGCACTATTGTGCACCACAAAAGCCCAATAGTGCAATTGATCACACCTAGATAAATGTGCACCTGTCATCGAAAAAACATCCTAAAATGCGAAAACGTTTTCCATTTGAGTAGTTTTCCTCCCCATGCTGTCATCAAAGTTCTACAGAGAGTGAGCATTGCAGTCACTTTCATGTGTAAAACTATAGTTGTCACACAATACACTGTCACAGTTTTAGTAGTATACCTAAAAAATTATGCTGAACAATATGAAAAGCACACTGAGAGGCTTGCAATAAGCCTGTCCTTATTTGATAAAAAAACGAGAGAAAGGTCCAGTCATGTGATCAGCCTCTGCAGTGTGATCAATGGAGCAGAAGCAAATAGAAGCTATTATTAAAAAGGTAAAGTCAAAGACTGAATTTAATAAAACACCAAAATATTATGTTCCCACATACTAACTGTACATATATGCTCCGATTGAAGCAGTTGCTGTCAAAGGACCAACAGTTTAATTAGGTAGTTCTGAAAGCACATGTTAAGTTACAATACACTGTCGCTCCTCTACAAACCTTTTAATTTGAGAGGACATATGAAATATGGAAAGATTGTTCTAGCATGAAGTCCAACTAAATAATCATATAATCCATGATTTAATGTGATGACAATCCGTCTCCACAGATGAAGTATTTTCTGAGCTCCAGCTTCTTAGGGAAAGCCAGTTGCAGATGTGTCTTGTGATTCCATCACTGCACCTATACTCTCCATAAATGGCACATAATAAAATCTGAAACAAACAAACAAGATATGATACACATATGAAAATAAGTAAGGTTCAGTAATCACGTTCATTAATGTTCAAACTAAAAAAGTATTTGAGCAGAAATATCCCTGACATCACAGGTTCTGGAATGCCATGAAACTTATGACATACAAAGATATACCTGGGTCAATCTATTTTTTTGTCGTGTTAAATCTCAGTAATAATAAACTCTGGGTATATATAGGCATGGGGATACATAATTCAATCATTTGATTTCCAAAACTGTTATTGATATATCACATTATTGCATATCCCCACAATCCTGATAACCTCACAGAAGGTGATCTTAATATTAGATTACACAAAAACAACCTGTCAATTTGAATACTAAATGTATCTCTCACAAGAATAGAAAAGTCATTTATATGTGATGAGGTGAGGTGAAATTGGGTTTAACGTCGTGCTTGAGAATATTTCGCTCATATAACGACGTGCATGTTTGTGTATGTGTATGTGCGGCTGCTTGTACACATTATACTGACTCCGAGCCGACCAGTCCTTGTTGTACCCATTAATGCCGAGCGCCAGGCAGGGACCAACAAGTACCATATTTTACCATCTTTTGGTATGACGTGGTCGGGGATCGAACCCGTGACCTTCCGCTCTCCGGGCGGACGCTCTAACCACTACACCACGGAGGCGGTCCCATTTATATGTACATAAGAAACAATGACATGTTTTCTTAGTAATTGTTAGTAAACTTACATCTGGATTATGGTAGCCTTTATTCCTGTGGTTACACAGATACATACAGAAAATGAAATGAAAATATAAACACTTAGTCATAGCTACTTCCAGTGGTATGCATAATCTGTCTACTGAATTATCTCCCCTGATCCTGATGTCACGGCATTGTTGTTTGAAAACCCTTTACAATTTTTCTGAAATAACTGATACACCATATATCTTCTAGGATAGAATCAGGGGGAGGAACGGGAGGGCGATAGATCCCATAATCCAGAGGTAGGTTTATTAACAATTACTAACAATACATGTAATTGTTCCTAATTATAACGTAAATATTCCCTCTGGATTATGGTTGCCTGAATCCCACATAAGGATGGAGGGTCCCCTTGAAGATGATCCAGTACATACCACTAGATGAACCTTAATCCACTACGAATAACTATGACATAATTTGAGATATCCTTAGATTATTTCCATATTGGTCAGTAGTAGTGAGGGATGAAATCCTTAAGGGTTCCCAAGCAATCCCTTACTTCTATTTCCTTATTTATGGTGACAATATTGGGCTTAATTCAACTTATTCTTGGTTTATGACGACACTTCCGGTTCTATGACGTCACTTCCGGTTATATGGCGTCCCTTCCAGTTCTTGATAAATTCCGTCCATATAGCTTAATTTGACAACCATAAAGGGGGAGAAGATAGTGGCTTCCCTTACCCTTTCAATGGTGCTCAGATGTTAGGTTTAAGGACACATAAAATCCTTACCTTATCTTCTTCGGCAATCTGTGATGTCATTCCACCAGTGATCCCTCTCTGTCTGTTATCTGTCACGTCCAGATCAGCAGCTTCCAATCTCTACTCTGATCCAAACTACTGCTGACAATTGGTAATTACAAACAAATACACACACACACCCACACACACACCCACCCCACCCCTCGATGGAAGCCGTAACGTCTCTGAGATAGAAATTGATGTACGTATTCGGAGATTTCCACTGACGGTTGGAAATCACCTGCTGATTAAGCAGCTAACGATGTAGCGAGAGCCCTGATTTCATGAGGTGAGAATTTCTTATTGAGTCTAGATCCTGGTCACGAAAGGTGTATGATATGGTTTTCCGTAACCAGGATGAAATACTGTTCTTGGAAATATCTGAGTCGACGTTGGTCTTACAGGAGAGGAAAAGTCGGCGACGATTACGTCTAAAGCCTCCCTGCTTGTTGAGGTAGGCTACAACTGTCAAATTGTCCAATACCAACATCACACTTTTCCTGTGAAAATGGGAAGCCCAACAACAAATTGCTTTTAAGAGTGCCAACATTTCCAAGCAATTGATGTGTAGACTGCTCTCCTCAGTGTTCCACAGACCCTGAGTCTGCAAATGATTCATGTGGGCACCTGGCGGCTGATGGCTAAAAGTGACTCCCGGAAGAACATTGCTGTCTACCATCCACCAAAGTATCTCTCGTTAGAATTGATCCGGAGGTACAATGAGAGAGTCTAAGTCTCGAGCACGAAACTGGTTGAGCGAGATCTGAGGTATCCTCAAACATATCCTTCCCCTTAGAGTGTAATCCTGCATGGAGGTGAGGGAGCCCAGGAGGGACATCCACGAACAAATTGAGACTGCTGGAGGGTCCAGAGTAGTTGAAATTTTTGCACAGATCTCGAGCCAGTGCTCTTGAGGAGTGTAAATCCGGCATGACTTTGAGTCCAGAATGGCTCCCAAACACTTGATCTGAGTGGAGGGGCTCAATTCTGACTTTACCGGATGTACTATCAGACCCAGGTGTGTGAAGATGTGGAGAATGAACTTTGTCTGTCTGATAAGTACATTCGTCATCACATGTCTAGCTAGAAAATCGTCCAGATATCCGTGTATTGATATATGATGATGATGTAGGAAGGCAATAACTTGAGTTAATACCATCGTAAATAACCATGGAGCTAGTGAGATTCCGAACAGTAAGACTTGGAACTGGAACCTGTGACCATTCACAGCAAACCTTAGGTATTTCTGGAAACGATGATGTATAGGTATGTGCAGATAAGCGTCCTTGAGATCTATACAGATGAACTTTGAGTTTTGATGGATTAAAGTTGGTAGATTTTTCAGGGATTCTATTTTGAACTTGTGAGGTTTCCGTAGAAAGTTCTTGTTTAACAGCTTGAGATCTATGATGATACGCATCTCGTCCGTGTCCTTCTTGGGGATGAGAAATACCGGGGAATAAAAGCCGCAGATTCGGTCTGATGGAGGAGGTTTGACAATCACCTTTTTCTCCAACAGCTAGTCTATCGCAAGATTTGCCCCCACTAAAAGTTGGGCCTGGAGGAAATATCGCCGACCCGTCGGAAAACAAGTCACAGGGGTAGATTGTCCCATGGAAGAATGTAGCCTCTCTCTATGACAGAAAGCATCCATTTGTCTGAGGTTATAAGATTCCAATTGTCCGCATATTGGGACAACCTGCCCCCTACCGGAGACTAAGTTACTGGTTGCACAAAATTGAACTCCATTTTCAAGTCGATGGGCAATTCCGGTTCGAAAGGATGAGTTAAAGGTTTTGCGTGACTTGAGTCAAAACTTCCTGGCGTTGGGTCTTGAGCCCCGAAAAGACCTGGCGCCCCTACCTCTACCTCTAGCTGAGGTTGAGCTCTTATGTGATGAGTTAGACTGAGTGTGTGTCCCGGAATCCGAAGCACAATCAAAGGCCAACCTCTGGAAAGGCCGAGATTGGCTTGCTGTAACTGAAGATCCACGAGATGTAGTTGACAAGGGCTCCCTTTTGGACCTAGGGATGGCCTGCTCTTGTTCTGTTTTAACAGCGCCGAAGCCAAAATGTGGTTTAAATTCTGAGATGCCATTGCATCTCTAGCTTCAATAGCTTCCTGACACTGTCCACTAAAGATACTGTCTGAATTTAATGGTTGCTGGCAAAGCATCTCCTTAGACAGTTCCAGAAGATTCCTGATGGAATTAAGTTTCTGAATTCTCTCAAAGGCTGTGAGGCGGCCCAAAATCCCAACTTGATATTGCATAGTATCTGCTAAGGATTGATATACCACGTCTAGGAAGGAATGTGCAAGGGATATGATATAGGGACTAATTCAGGACAGCCATCGTCTAAATATTTAAAAAGTCCAAAACTATGTACTCAAGACATGTGAGACTTTATGTAATATATATATGTATATAACCTGTATTTTTAATCATTACTGTACATCCTTATCACTACCGCATTGTAAATTGACTTGTCAGCCCATTAATTATTGTATAAGACATTTATAACCTTCACTGGTAATCCCCCTTGGCCGTGTCTGCCATCACATCAACTGGTCAAGGAAGTGCTATTGTTTTTCTGTCTGTCCATTGATGAGTCGTCGCCTGTCCATTGTTGTCAAAACTGTATATATGTTTAGTATGCTCACATCTAGACAGTGAAGGAGTACGAGTTCGGTATTTGGACTGTCCGTTGGGACGACCACGAGCAGGATAATGCCGCTCGTTGGAAACGCCTTAGGGTTGAGCAGGTACTCCGCTCACCTTATGTATGTCTTGTGTATTTGTTTGTCATGTAACTAAAGAAGTTTGAACTTAACTATGCCTTCGTCTTCATCTACGCACACTTCATCTTAATTATGAGCTAATTCCCCAGTTGACGCATATCCACGCGTTGACAGATACCTCCTGAGCTGACATTGATACTAAGGTATCTTTCTTAATACCCGAGTAGTCCTGGATCAAGGGAGGAAAGAGAGCGCGTGCGCCTGCAGCAAACCAATTTGTATATGAGAGAGTGTCAATTGAAGTACGAGCTGCCGTGTCAAATTCCCTAAAGTCCTTGGCCAAACATGGAAGTGGCTGATCACGTAATCCCCTGGAATCCTGAAGCTGATTAAAATAATTATCCAGGATAGGCTGGCTGGCTGGAATAAGTCGATTGTGGATTGCATACACCGGTCTATGGTCAATCCTAGGCAGGTTCAGTAACGATGTAACGTATTGTAAGCATCCAAGGCAGTATTAAGAGACGATGAATGAGGTAGGGATAATTTAGGCATCCGCTCCGGTGGCAGGCAACCCGATAATCCCAGCTACACAGCGATGTCCACTTCATGAACCTCAGTAGGAGGTGGCAGGGTACTAGGATAAAGTCCATGTAAGAGCTCAAGCTTCTTAAATGACCATCCTGGAGTAAATTCATCCCCTGTGGTATCCATGGGCTGCACAACATCAACCCATCCCTCATGATAAACTGAGAAAAGAG